CCCCAAAACCCCAAAACCCCAAAACCCCAAAACCCCAAAGTTTGTGATATAAATTGAAATTAGATTATTCTATATTTTCAATATGTTTCAAGATTTTGGGGCTATTATACAAACAAGAAAATTCGCCTCGGGGTGCTCCTGAAGCATCCTGCTGATGCTAAGCTAAAAATTCCGAGTTAGAAAGCTCTATAGTTACGAATTATCCTAGCAAGAATCCTATCGGAGACTTGTTACTGTTTTTAATTTTGGACGGTTTGTCATTTCCACCGAAAACATTTTCTATATATAGAATAGAAAACTTCATGAACTTAATAAATTTAACAATAGCACTAGAGCAATATTAGAAAACATCGAGGACCCATGCAATAGTTCTCGATTCGTGGGCTAAACCATATTAGGGTGAAGATGTTGGCGGGTTTAAAGAAGTATTATTTACTTCTTTAAACCCTTCAGCAACGTCACCCATAATATGATTTAAATTTTCTCTAAAACAATATCGTCAAAGAAAATTTTGCTCGATGGACTGTTAGTCAGAGATTACTTCAAAACTATAATCGTTTGGCTGAATCATATGAAGAACTTACTTGCTTATTGAAGTCCCATATGATCAATGGGCGTCTAATCCATCCTTTTTACTTTAAATTGTTAATCCTTCAGAGGAATCAGGCAGGTATAAATTAGTAGCCTACTCTTTTCACTTAGATCTAGCTACAGTCTGGAGATCCTTAAAAACTCGGCTCTGGTTAATATGTTCTCTATTGATTATTAATTTTCCTGCCTCTAATCTGAATCAGGTAAAATGTTTCTCATATCAAATTCTTATCTAACAGACTTAGTCAGAGTTAGAGATAAGAAGAAATTATAGACTTCAACATTCGCAAGTACTTCAAAGTTTGAAACTTTGAATTCTGTTTGAAAAACTTCCATATTGAACAAAAGTGAATCATTTTAACAGGTTTTGAAGAACATCTTAATATTTCAAGTCCCTAAAATCACAAGTACGGCTGCTTAGGTACGATTTGAATGTTTTTGAGACTCATACACTGCAATAGTAGTAAACCTTCTTGTCCATTTGCACAACCCCATCCTAGAAATTATAATGGTAAATGTACTATTTTAGGAAATCCTTCTGATGGAAATACAATGATTGGAATAATCTTCTTTTAAAAATTTGGACTTAAGAATAGTAATCTGGTTATCTCTAAAGAGAGGCTCTTATTGAAATTTAGCCATAAACATTAAGTAGGATGAAGTCTCGACTCACTCAAATACATTTGTGAGTTCCTGTTCGAAGTAACACAAAAATGAATGAGAAGAATTATGCATAAACCTATAAGATCTTGTTAGACTGATTCTGAAGGGATATTGAGAATCAACTATTTCTTCTTTCATTTCATTCATGAATCTAAACTTCATTGGTATAACTGAAACTAGTAAACATTATCTATTCTTTTTTAGCAAATATATCAAAGCGAAAGACTCCCTACAGTTCTCAAGATGCTAGAGAAAACTATTTTATATGCCAGATTCATCTTCAGAGAAGTTTCAAGAGTAATTAATCTACCTGTTTTAAGCAGTAACAATGTATATGGTAACAAGAGGCCTGACCAACTCAAGACTTTCTGAAAGAGAGCTTTATAATTTCTTTTAAAGAAATCACGAGCTGAGCTCCTAAAAGTTGTATTATAAGAGAAAGAAAGCATCAGTCTCTGTTATGAAAATATGCATTTTCAGGAAAATCTGATTATTAAATTCCCAAAATATGTCAAGGTTGCCAATCAAAATTGTGAAGATTAAGGTTTTCGAGGATTTTAAACACTTTCTTTGGCCCAATAACTTCATCCCTGATGCTCTGTTCTCAATAGGAAATCATCTTTTAGTAACTTAAGGAAAATTATTGGTGTCAAAGGATTTGGGAGATTGCATTATTAAGGAAACTTATGTTGCAACATTTTTCTGAAGCTCAGTATTTGCTGCTACTAAATTCTCCCATTATGAAAATCTACAGAGCTTGCTGGGATGCATATGAAAATGTGTTATAACTTCTTAATCCAGAGTAAGCCCACTCTTTTGTTTATACTGCAGTATCACTAAAATGCTTGGGGTTTCAAATGATATATAAATCAACCGTTATTCAAAAATTAATATGTTAAGGATTCACAACTTTTTAAGCCTGCTTCAATCTCTTCCAAATTAGTACCATAATGTTAAAAGAGTTTCGTACTAAAAAGAAGGCATTCAAAACACTCAACATAGCAAAGAATCTGAGCGAGGAAGGTTATTCTGTACATAAAGCAAGATTCAGACTTTGAATCAAGAAATTATAGAAATCCTACCACGACTAAATGTTCTAAAATTTCAGAAGTAAATTTCAAATTTTATTCTTAACGTTTTAGTAGCCAAAGAAAGAAGCTGAAGCGAAATCATTATAATTAATATTAATACTCATCCTGTTGGAGCTTGTCTCTTGCTAGTTTAATTCATCTTTGGTAAACATCATCTAGTCAGTCCTCAACAGAAATAGGCAGTTTCTTGTATAATAATCTTAACAGCACCATTTCTAACTTCTTAATTTCTGTATGGTATTGGTTTTCCCATGCTCAGTACTTGTGGAGAGCCACTACCGATGATATAGGAGTGTTCCTTAGCTCCATGAACGAAATTATGAGATGCTGAAAGTACTCAGATCTGCTCAGACATTGGAAGTCCCAACTTCGATAGCTTTGGGATCATCTGAATCCATTGAAGCCATCACGTGCTGCTTGGGATCCAAGCTGTCAAGCATCAGAGGAATTTAAGTTCATGAATCTAAACAGGAACTGAGCCATGTCTTCAGTTGGAGCTCTGTGAATGTAGACTGAAGCAAATTGTTCCAAAGCCTGCAAAGTCTCTTCGAAAGGAACATTTGTGAATCTTCTGTTTTGAAGTCTGTCGTTATGATATAGGAACAGTTGACAGAAGAACTTCTTGACAAGTCTCAAAACTTTTCTGTTTTGGATGTCTGGCCTTTTGTTCTTCACTGAGCTAACAAGGCTTTTCTTAGATTTGTCTAGAACTTCTGCGGAAGATGAATCCTCCAATGATTCCTTCACTTCAGTCGCTGAAGTTGGGTTTTTATCAAACAAGCTGTTGGGCTGATAACTCTGAGAGAATATTCCAGCATCAGCTTCACCAGCCTCCATCTGGATCGAAGGGAGCAGAGTAGTTTCCTCCGATGGCTCACAGAGATCTTTCAAAAAGTTAAGTAAACCTTCGTCTGGGATTTCAATGGAGTTGCTCTAGATAAACCATTAGGGAGGTTCCAGAATTAACTGTCTTATTTTAAAAAGCAAATGGTTAATAAGCTTCAAAGTAAGTTGTAGAGATTAAGCTCTGCAAACTTTACTAGTGGTCCATATTGTTATTAAGAGTTAAATTGACCGAGCAGGAGTTAATCCTCTAGCATTTTATTAAACCCACAATTTGGGTTTTTTAACCAAGGTTATGTTCATAATATAGGTTTTCTCGTCTTACATGATCGAGCTCCAGGCTGATTTGATCAAACAATTTATCTTCGGAATTTGTAGTGATGTAGTCCATTACTTGGTGGTATATTATTTATGATATTATTTATGATATTATTTATAGCTCTAGTCTTCTTTCCTTATATGGGGTTTTGGGGTTTTGGGGTTTTGGGGTTTTGGGG